AGACAGACAGACAGACAGACAGACAGACAGATAGATAGATAGATAGATAGATAGATAGAAGGACAGATAGATAGATAGATAGATAGATAGATAGAGACGGATGGACGGATGGACGGACAGATAGATAGATAGATAATGATTTTGTCAAGCTCACATAATTAAGATAAGAATCAATCATCCACAGTCAATCACTGATTAAATAATCATCCCTAAGAAGTGAAATAAGATGAAATTTAATTATATTCTCCATTAACTGTGAAACTGCAGAGCAAATGAAGATCCCTCATCAGACAGAGCCAAAGTCTATCAGCGCACTCTGGATCTGTTACACTTCTGGATTGAAGACGCACAGTTAGTGGACTTCAGCTCGAGCTCCAGCCTCCTGCAGATGCTGCACACTTTCCTGACCGCTGAGGTCACCGCCTTCAGAGTTTAACTCTTAAACTGCTGGTTTAGACAGAAGGCTTGAGTGCGTGTGAAATAACCGTGTTACGCTGTGTCTTCAGGTCGCACCGGTTGACAGTCGAGGAGCGGGTTTGCTGGCGACGCTCCAGGCCTCGCCCAGGAAGAGGCGCGTCTGTGTTCCGTCGTGTGCATTTGATACCTCCATCGAGGAGAAGCTCTCAGTGAACTCCTCATGCAGGAGATCATCCATCGAAGACGCTGCTCGAAAGGTCTGTGAAAGTCATTTTAACCAAGACACTACAGGTGGATATTGTAGACATATTAATAATAGAAATCACAATACTTGCATTACCAGTTGACAAATAGTTTTTTTATTACCAGTTTTCTGAAATGTTAAGGTTAAATTTGCATTTAAAAGACAATGATAACTAGGGATGTAACGATTAACCACGAGCCGTTTGTAAATCGATTCAAATATGTGACGATTAAAATCGGTTGAGATGCTAAATAAATCACGATTCAGTTAGGGGTAGGAGTTTATATGAATGTATGTCTGAGGGGAACATACTCGGTTACTAACGTAACCTCGGTTCCCTGAGATACGGGAACGAGTACTGCGTCGCTAGACGCTACAGGAAACTCCTTTTCTCCGATTTACTGAAGCCTTTTTTTCAATCATCTTTTCAGAAATGAACCAACGACAGCGCAGCGGAGCTGCGTGAGTCTATAGCGAAGCAGCGCGCCCGAGCCCGCAAAAATGGGCGGGGCATCTGGCTATATAAGCAGGTGCTCGGCATAGGATCACTATCTCAGGGAACCGAGGTTACGTTAGTAACCGAGTACGTTCCCTTTCGATACTTCACTACTGCGTCGTTAGACGCTATGGGAACCTATTCAATCACACCGTGCTATAGTAGATGAACGACTTATAAGTAATTGTCCAGAGCGTCCAGAAGGGGGCCCTGTAGATCAACTACAATGGAGCAGGCCATAGCCAGAGACCCGGATTCTTTTCGGGGTCAAGAGGAGGCAAAGAAATGGGCTAACTCATAGAGGTCGAGCCCGGCCTTACATAATCGTTCTTAGAGCTTCGCACAGCCTCGGAACTAGATAGGGCCGAGAGCGTGCCGGAAGCTAAGCATAGGGCAGAGAGTGTGCCGGAAGCTAAGCCCAGACGTGGGAACTTCAGCGGGTTCGAAACATAGTCAAACCCAGCAAGGATTAAATCCAGCCTTAGGGCGGGAATATGGTTCCTGGAGCATTTGAGCTGAGAGAGACAGTTAAGCAGAAAGGACCTGAGCCTGTAAAGCAGGAACGTGTAGGTTGTAGAACCTGACAAAGGTGGACGGCGAGGACCAGCTGGCCGCCGCACAAATTTCTGCAATGGACACACCACTGGACCATGCCCATGCTTTTAGGGAGCGCAAGTGGCAATGTGCCCACTCCAGTAGGCTCTTTGCCATCCTGAAGAGGCGTGGGGAGGAAAGGCCACCCTGGCGGTTTATGTAGGATACTACCGTCATGTTGTCCGATCGGACTAAGACATGGCATCCTTCTAGATGTGGTAGGAAGGACTGTAAGGCCTGCCATACTGGCAGCATTTCCAGGCAGTTGATGTGCGCAAAGAGCTGCTCCGACTGCCTAAAGGAGGCGGAGCAGTCAAAGTAGATTTTTAATGCCCTGACAGGACAGAGCAGGATTAACACTAGAAGAACCTTGTGCCCTTGTTCCCTGATTCGCCTGATGACCTGAGGGATCAGGGCGATCGGGGGAAAAGCGTAAAGGAGAAGGCTGGGCCAATCGTGGGCCAGCGCATCCCTTTCCTTCGAAAAATAGATTGGGCAGTGAGAGTTGTCTTCTGAGGCGAAGAGGTCGACCTCTGCCTTCCCGAAGATCTCCCATATTCTCCGAACCGTCTGGGGGTGAAGCATCCACTCGCCAGAGGGGACGTTGCTCCGAGACAGCATGTCTGCTCCCTGGTTCAGTTTGCCCAGTATATGCGCTGCGCCATGCAGGCTTGATCCCCCTTGATACGAAGGCGTGTGCCAAAGGCCAGTGAGGGTGACCGGGGAGTCAAGGAAGATGGTTTTATCCGCTTCTTTGATCCCCGTCAAATTCAGCCATAAGTGGCATTCCAGCACCACCAGGCTGGCCATCGACCTCCCGATGGCCTGTGCAGTCGTCTTTGTGGCGTGCAGGGCCAGATCGGTGGCGCTGCGCTGCTCTCTGAATGCTGCAGAGTGTTCTGGACCAGACTCATCCATGGTGCGAAGGAGCTTTTCCTGGTACACTTGGAGCACCGCTTTGGATAGGAGAACGAGACGGGGGAAACCTCTCTTTGTGGAGAGAGTGAGGTACGCGGGCCTTGAGCCGACGTAAGCTCACTCATATCCGAGCACTGTGATCCTCTACCCCGCTGTTTTTTCCTCACAGGTTCCTGGGAGGAAGAAACGGGGGGGCGCGAGGGGCGGGGTCGCTCTCTGAAAAGAAAGCTTATCCGCGAGCGCAAAGAGGCGAGACTCATGCTCTCGCAGTGGGAGCATGACGTCTCAGTGAGCGCGGCTTCTGCATGGGATTTCCCCAGACATTGCACGCATTCACTGTGCCCGTCATCAGCATGCAGTGGTGTACTGCATGAGCCACAGCCGTGGCGCGACATTTGCAACAACGTCACAGGAAATTTGCTCAGAAATTTGCCCTTTGTTAGGCAGAGGTGTGCAGCCACCGCTTCGTCCAGAGGAGGCAGCTTATCGTAGCCCTTCTGTGCAGCGCCGTCGACCGTAGTGAGGGAGGGAGAGATAGAGGAGCGTAAACGAGCGGAGTAGGGGGCGCACCACGACTTCGTCAGCTCGTCGTGAACCTCTGGGAAGAACTGCACGAGCCACAGCCGTGGCGCGACATTTGCAACAACGTCGCAGGAAATTTGCTCTGTTACCTCAAGCAGGAAAGCGTCAACACAGGCGCTCTGCAGCCGGCTCGTGAGCGAAGCGCTGACTGGGGCTGCCTTTGAGAGCGACGCGGGAACAGAGCTGCTTGAAGCGGCGATCTGATCCGGTGCTGCAAGGCGGCGCGCTGATCAGTGCTGCTTGAGAGCGGCGAGCTGCGAGCAGTGAGCAGAGAGCAGAGGCGGTGAGCTGATCTTGCTGCTGTAGAACGGCGGCTGGACCAGCTTGCCGGTGAAGGCTTCAAATCTCGTAGACTCAGCGAAGAGCAGTAGATGTTATCGCTGAAGGAGAAAGAATCAGTGATCCTATGCCGAGCACCTGCTTATATAGCCAGATGCCCCGCCCATTTTGGCGGGCTCGGGCGCGCTGCTTCGCCATAGGCTCGCGCAGCTCTGCTGCGCCGTCATTGGTTCATTTCTGAAACAATGGCAGTGCAGATGCACTGCTGTGATTGAAAAAAAGGCTTCAGTGAATCGGAGAAAAGGAGTTTCCCATAGCGTCTAGCGATGCAGTACAAAGTGAAGTATTGAAAGGGAACTGACTGTCTTTCGATGGTATTTTTTCTTTTCCTCTTGCCTCTGTATAAAGCATATTAAAGTTCATAAGTGCAGCGCTGCTTTGTTTACAGCGGTAACCAAGGAAACACTGTATCATTGCTGTTCATAAGTGCAGCGCTGCTTTGTTTACAGCGGTAACCAAGGAAACACTGTATCATTGCTGTTCATAAGTGCAGCGCTGCTTTGTTTACAGCGGTAACCAAGGAGATGCTTGAAGCGCCACCTGCTGGCAGAGAGTGAATCTGCGTCTCGTTCAGCTCGTCTGCTGTTTCTGTTTCATGCAGATATTTTTTATGCAGAATTTAAAAAAACTGAAGTCAAACCATTCTGTTTTTGCTTCAAATTTTGAAATTATACAATCTAATTTAGATTAAAAACTGCTCATGTTGCATGTATGCAGCATCTTTGTTTGGATCATGATTAAAATGCAGTGGTTGCCTCTAATTTTAAATGGAAAGAGCACAGACAAAGCCTTAATTTGTTTATATGAAGAGATTTATTTTATTTGTGTTACTTATTTATTTGATTTGGGGCTTGTTTTAAAATAAATTTTAAAAATGTAGTTTTGTTATTTACATTTACATTATATTTAAATGTTGTTATTTAGCAAACGCTTTTATCCAAAGCGACTAACAAATGAGGACAATAGAAGCAATCAAAACCAACAGAAGAGCAATAATTTACAAGTGCTATATTAGTTTATTATTATAGTGTTATATTTCAATTTCACAAAGAAACGTACAGTATTTTGTCCAAGCAATAATAAAAGGACACATTTAATTTATAATATGTCTAAAATCTAATTTTGTTAAAAATAAATAAATCGAGAATCGAATCGAATCGTGAAATCAAAATCGTGAATCGAATCGTGAGTTGAGTGAATCGTTACATCCCTGAATTGATAACAGTCCATTGGAAACACGACCAACCAGTGGACTCAGGAACTGAAACAAATCTGGAAAGAATGACAGTGTGGTTACAAATAAAAATGGACATTTGTTTAAAAAGATGGACATTAGGTACCTAATTAAGAAGGGTTGTAGGGTTGTAGTGATTAGTAACACAGTGTACGGTTGAGGAAAATAATACTGTGTAACCTGCTCTTGCTCTTGGTTTCTTCTTGTGATTAATTTAATTTAATTTAATTTAATTTAATTTAATTTAATTTAATTTAATTTTTATGTATTTGTTTATTTTATATTTTATATTTTATTTACATATGTATTTATTCATTATGTTTTATTTTTATTGTATTTTATTTATTTATTGTTATTAAACTTTAAAAAGTTTTTAAAAATGCATTTAAGGCATTATATTATTGAATATGCACTAATTTGCATTTATTTCCAGAACAGAAATCTGAACATTGGATAAATTCTTGTTTGATTTTGTTGACATATTAGAGTTAAAGCTTTTTACAGACGGGAATTTTGATTTCTCTTTTTATAACTACATAAATCCAAAAATACTGTCAACAGACAGTAAAAAATACATTTTCGCTATGTTTTTAGGAATAAAATGTTAAATATAAATCAAGCAAATTATATATTAACAATATAAAAACCTAGATAGGAATAAAACTGTAAAGTTTGGTGTATGCAAGTGTTACTGAAGTGGAAAATCTACAGCATAATGTAATAAACACTTAACTTTATATTTCGGATGTTTTCTTTCCACTAGTCTGAAAGAAGAAGCAAAATAGCCCAAAAAATCTCAAAATTGACCAGCGCATGAAAAAAATACGGTTTTACCTGTAGTTCCTTGCCTTAAGAAAAAATCAAACACAAGAAACATGAATTTGAAGCATTTCAGCAGAAGTCAAACACCTGACTGCTAGTGTGTGGTGTTCTTCATGTGTTCACACGTGTGCAGTGGCGCGTGCCACGTGTGTTGGAGCCTCAGACGGTCCAGAATAAAGAGAAAGGGTTCTCCATCGCCGCTGCTCTTCCACGGCCGTGTTACACCTCTCTGATGAGCAACAGCAGTCTGCGATCAGAGGAGAGACGGCCCTTCAGTCAGAGCGAACACACGCCGCTGCACATCACACAGCAGCTCACCTTACTGGAGCAGGTGATCAAAAAAACACAGAAATCATTTGTGAAATATACAGCGCATGCAAAACATATGGAAACGTTTGTAATAATTATGATTTTAAAATGTTGAAAGAAGTCTCTTCTGCTCACCAGGGCTGCATTTATTTGATCAAATATACATTAAAAAATGTGAAATATTATTTTAAATTAAAACAGCTGTTTTCTAAGTGAATGTCTGTTAAACTGTAATGTATTTCTGTGATGCGCAGCTGTATTTTCAGCATCATTACTGCAGTCTTCAGTGTCACATGATCTTCGGAAATCATTCTAATATGCTGATTTGCTGCTCAAGAAACATTTTTGCTTTTATTCTGCAGAGATGCATTAAATTGATCAAAAGTGACAGTGAAGGCATTTATGATGTTCTGTTTTCAAATAAAGCTGTTCTTTTAAACTTTCTGTTCATCTGTGAATCCTGAAAAATAAAATGCATCACGGTTTCCACAAAAATATGAATGTTTTCAACATTGATAATAATCAGAAATGTTTCTCGAGCAGCAAATCAGCATATTAGAATGATTTCTGAAGATCATGTGACACTGAAGACTGGAGTAAATTCAGCTTTTGATCACAGAAATAAATTACAGTTTAACAGAGATTCACATAGAAAACAGCTGTTTTAGTTTGTAATAATATTTCAAATTTTTTAATGCATATTTGATCAAATAAATGCAGCCTTGATGAGCAGAAGACACTTCTTTCAAAATTATTTCAAACGTTTTAAAAGCTATTGTAACTCAAAATACATGAATGTCCTTAATTTCCAATTTTCATTATCATACTTTCTTACATTATTTTATTTTGACATTATCACTCTATTTTCTGCTGTTCTCACGCTGTTATTTCCCGATCCAACTCTAGGTGGAGACACACGATCATCTTATTTTCATGCTGGTCTTGATCCTTGATCTGACACAGACTTTTACACCAGGACAGAATCACTATATCATGCATATTCATGTCTCATCGTCTGATATTTATGCAGGAAATATTTCACGACTGTCATCCGGTTCACTTTCTGAACTCGAGAGCTCACCGAGTGACGGAAAACTCTGGAAACATTTCCAGGTGACTTTCCACTGTCCCAAACTCAATTAAAGCAGTGACCTTCTATATTAAAACTCAAACGTGTTTAAGCTTTCTTGTGTACAGAACACAGCATATTTTACATGCATAAAAATCATTCTCACCTAAAATCGTGATTTTAGAAAAAAGTGCATGTGCATATTTATATCTCATATCTTCCCGAATATGTTGAGTGTGTGTGATAAATGTTGCTGTGTGTTGGTCAGTGAGGTGTCGGGGCCCCGGGGCCCGCTGCAGAGGCTCCTCACACACGCAGACTGTGTGGCTAACTGGGTTTCTGCTGAACTCGTCATCTGTGACTCGCTCAAGGTTAATTAATTTAACTATTTGTTTTAATTACTTTAATAATAGTTTTAATATTATGAATTCTTAATTGTTATTATTAGTATTATCATTGTGTAACATAATATTAATAATAATAAAAAAAATAATTGTTTTAATGGTTTTAAACTAATTCTTAATTTTGAATATTATATTAATAATAATGTTATATTATTGTATTATATTAATCTATCTTTAACATTAATATTAGTAATAAAAAACTGCTTCACAGCTATTTGTTTTAATTACTTTAATAATAGTTTGAATTATTATGAATTCTTAATTGTTATTATTAGTATTATTATCATCATCGTCGTGTAACATAATATTAATAATAATATAAAAAATTATAAT